GTAGCCGCTGAGCCCGAGGGCGGCCTCATGCTGGACGGCCCTCCTTCTTGCCTCTAGCTCCTGCGGTCGTGGTGCGACGTTGGTCTCACTCCAGTGGCTCACCGCTCCAAGTGGCTGCGGACAGGTTGCATCACAGACGGAGATCGCTCGATTCACGAGCATGAGGTCATCTGCAGGGTGCTGGATTCGATGATCAGCGTGGACCAGCTCAACGCACCCGCGCTCCCGAGCGCCGAGCTGCGGTGCCGCCGCGTGCAGGTCATCGAGGATGCGCGCGCGGTCTCGCCCTCGGCCCCCGACTATTCGGCGGCCGGCGAGTACATGGGCTGCTCGGCGCACCGCGGTGGGGCAGCTGTGGCTCCGCAGCTGCAAAAGCACGTCGCAGCGAATGTGCGCGACAAGGCCGCGGTGCTCAAGGAGGCCTGGAAGGCGAAGGAGGAGCAGAAGCTGCGCCGCGGCCCCAGGGGCGGAGGCAAGGGTGACCCCGCCCACTCGGCGGGGTCGGGGTCATGGCGGCCCCGCGCCGCGGGAGCTAGCCGACCCGCGGCTGCCATCCGGCCAGAGACGGACGCGTCGCGCGTCGCTTGCAGTCTGATGTAGGGAGCCCTCCTCCGCTCCAGGCAGCGACAGATCGCTGGCGCGATCTCTTCCCGTTGCCATGCATTCAGCCGGCGCCGCCATCGTAGGGGCCAGTCTCGACTTATACGCGTCGGCGCTCGGGGCAGGTCGCCAATGACGCGAGTGCAGGTCTCAGCGCGCCCCGCCCGCCGCGTGGGCAGCGCGGGCAGACCGCGGCGGCTCGGCGCCTTGCAGCTGCCACTGTTTTGCACCAGGTGATGACGGCCCCTTCGTCTGCCATCCCCCACTCACGTCGTGGGGCGGCTAAAGAGCTCCTGGCCAGCAGCCTGTCCTACGCCGTGGGCGAGGAAACGAGCCCCGTGGCGAACTGCGCCGGATCCCGTGTAGACATCCGAGAAGTGGATGCGGCCGCGCCTGCTGTCGAGTCGGCGCTCGACCCGATCGGGGGGGGGCTGCGCGCTGGTCTACCAGAGCAGGATGATGAAGACACACGTCAGGTAGGGTCCTCGACCCGGAGCCGCCAGTCAGTCCACGCGTGGGATTTGTAGTCGGATCCCGGCGCCTACCACCTGCGCGCCGCTGACCTGGTGGAGGATGACGTTTTTGGGTTCGCTTGCCGTCTGGGGGACTCGGTCACGCCTTGCTTCGTCGCGAAGAAAAGCGGGGCCCAGAAGCTGGTCTGGGGCGCGCGGGTGCCGAGCGGCAGGTTCCGCTCGCCTCCGCCCCTGTCCATGGGGGGCGTCTGCTTCGCGCGGGTGCCTCCAGCTACGCGGCGACCGTGATGGCGGGGGAGCTTATGCCGCGAAGCTCTACTGCGCGCAGGCCGACGCCAGGAACTATTTCTACGCGCTGAGGCTGCCGACAGATCGGGCTCTTCTTCTCGCTGCCGCCCGTCTCGCATGCTGCGTTGTCGCAGTGGGGGGTTTGGACTGTGGGCTCCCCCGACGGCCCCTCAGGGGGCTGGGTCTTGCCGTTTCTGCGCGTCGTTCCGACGGGATTGTCCTGGGCCTGCTGGTTGGGGCAGCGTGCCAACGCGCGCATTTGTTGATTCGCTTCGGGCCTCGTGGTCTCCAGGCGGTTCTAGGGGCGAGCAACGTTGGGCCCCGTCGGAGTTCCCCGCAGCTGACCGCGGGTCGAAGCGCTGGGGGCCGAGGTCGAGTCGCCAACCGCCTCGGCCTGGCAGCTCGCAAGCGGCCCGCGGCCAGCCGCCGCCTGGCCAGAAAGGACTTCCTGCAGGGCAGCCCGTTCATCGGGGCTTCGAAGGGCGAGGGGGGCGCGAAGCGCCCAGGGTTCATGGGCCCCTTCCGCGCGTTGGGCCCCAGCGGGGGGAGCTTCCTGGAGCGGCGCGCGGTGGCTCCGCAGACGCTGGCCTGCTGCGAGGAGGCGCTGCGGGAGTTTAGACGGTTCGCGCTCGCCCTCGGCTTGCCGCTCGTCGCAGCAGCGGGCGCCGACCGGGCGCCGACGAACTACGTCGACTTCGCCTGGGGCCTCGGGCTCGGGGGGGCCGATCTGCTGAAAACCTATGCCGCGTTCATCTCGGAGCGCCCCGTCTTTTCCCGAATGGATTCGCCCCGCTTGCTTCGGTTTTCGAGGGCGCCCCAGGGCCGGGGGCGCGCGGGCCCAGGGCAGGCGCGGCCGCCCGTGCCGCGGCAGGTCGCGGCCATGATCGCCGGCGCGATTGCGACGGCGTTGGGAGCTCCCATGGTGGCGGTCATGGTCGTCGTGATGCTCTGGGCTTACCTCGGGCTCATCGAGGCCCCTGGCCTCGGGGGCCAGGGCGTGTTCCCCCCGGGCGGCTCGCGCGAGCGCCGCGGCTTCAACCTTCGCCTCTCGGCGAGGGGTGGAGCGGCGAGGTCGGGCTGGCAGATGAGAGAATTCCGCCGAGGCTCCTCGGCTGGGGCTGGGGCCTCTGGTCGCGAGGTGCTGCTCCGCGAGCCCCAGCGCGCTGCTCTTCGGCGCGAGCGCGCGGGTGCTCGGGCGGCTCTGGCAGCGGCCGCTGGCGCTGGTGCGAGTCGGGCGGCGCCGCGCGTCTGGCCCGCTGCGGCGCGGCGGCCCGCCCCGCGACAGCCAGCGCCGCCGCGGGCCCCTTGCCGAGATCAAGGGCAGTGGCCGATGGGCCTTGGACTACAGCATGAAGGCGCGGGAGGCAGCGCTCAGCCGGCAGCCGGCGCCAGGGGTGGCCCCGCGGGGGCTCCAGGCGGCCGGGCCCCAGGGCTCCGCGCGAGCCAGGGGGGCGCGGGCGCTCTCCCGCTGCGCGTCCTCCAGCGCGGGGCCCAGCCGAGATCTCGCGCCGGGCCTTCCTGGAGCTCGCGCGCGGCTCCGCCCGACTGGCCAGCGCGGTCGCCGCCGCTTGGCGGGCCGCGCAGGACTGGGGCGCCAGCGACGGCGACGGCGCTGACCTGCGCGACGCCGACGTCGTTTCAGCGCTAGAGCGCTACATCCTAGACGGTTCCGTCGGCGGCGCCCACGTGGGCTTGGACTGCGAAGCGTGGCCCCGATCTCGCAAATATGATGGCGCAGGCGCGCCGCCGTTGAGAAGCGATGGGGCCATCTGGGGATTGCGCCGCCTGAACTGCAGTGGTTCCGCTAAGCTTGTCTTCGCCGATGTTCTGAGGCGGTTAGACGCCGCTCTGGGGCGTGGCCTTCCTTTTTCGGTCGAGAGCGCCCGCTCCTCTCGCCCGTGGCTCGTTCCCGAGCTCAAGTCAAGTGCCGAGTCGGCGAAGGCGGAATGGGCTCGCGTTGCTGTTTGCCAGTCTCGTGTTCCATGGCGCAATCAGCTGCCTTCTTCTGTTCAACTGGCCGCCCGCGCAGGCTGCGCTGAGACATTGCGCGGAGACAACTCCGTTGCAGTGCAACAGGTAAGGGGCATATTGTGCTGAAGGGCAAGGATCCGAGCGGAGTCTTTTGGACCATTAGAGCGCGCCTTTATCCAGTGGAGCTTTGTCAGACTCTGGCGCGTCGGTTTGTGGCTGAGGCCACTGCGCTGTCTTGCAGGCGGGCATGGGGTTCGAGGCCCTGGACCTTGTTCTCTCGCTCCGTCGCCTTTGCAGCTTGTGCTGCCGCGGCGCCCGCTCGCTCGTTCGCTGGGGTCTGGTCGAAGCAGCGACCGCGGCGAAAACGAATCTCATCGGACGCGCTTCGCGCCTTCATTTCTCTTAGCACGGCTTAGCTCCAGGGGTTCATGTCTAGTGCCTGCAGGTAAATGAGCTTGGGAGCAGGGGAGTGCCGCGGGTCTTCGGCTCCAGTGTTCCGGCGCCCGCCTGTCGACCCCAGCTGCCGCCTGTCCTTTGCTACCTTTATCCTGATATGGGGATCGGGGTCTTGAATATTGTTCACTCGCCCCTGCGCCTTCGCAGCTCACGTTGCCGTGGCGCCCGCTGGCTTTTTTCCCTAGATCCTGGTCGAAGCAGCGACCGCGGCACAACGTGTTTCATCGGACGCGGTTTGCGCCTTCATGTCTCCGGACACGGTTTTGCTCCATGGGGCTCATGGTAATGTTGATACTGGTGATTATCCGGATGATATAATGATGGTGCTGATGACGGCAATTCCGATGATGATGATGATGATGATGATGATGATGATGATGATGATGATGATGATGATGATGATGCTGCTGGCCATGATTACGATGATGTTGAGGGTTTTTTTTATGATTATGGCGATGAGGATGCTGTTGCTGCTGATGATGCTGCTGATGCTGATGATGATGGTGATGATAGTGTTGGCGGCGGCGGTGGTGGTGGTGGTGATGATGATGGCGTTTGCGATGATGATGCGGAAGATGATGAGGAGGAGGAGGGTGAGGGAGGAAAGGAGGGAAAGAGGGAAGGAAGGAAAGAGGAACGGAGTGAAGAGGGGAAGGACGGAAGGTATTTGAGGAGGAGGAGGGGGAGGGAAGGGGTGAGGAAGGAAATCTGCAAAAAAAGGGAGGAGGAGGAGGCGGAGGAGGAGGAGGAGGAGGTGGAGGAGGAAGGGGAGGAAGGAAAGGAGGAGGAGGAGGGGAGGAGGAGGAGGAGGAGGAGGAGGAGGAGGAGAGAGCAGGAGGAGGAGGAGGAGCAGGAGGAGGAGGAGGAGGAGGAGGAGGCGGAGCGGAGGGAGGCGGAGGCGGAGGCGGAGGCGGAGGCGGAGGCGGAGGCGGAGGCGGAGGCGGAGGCGGAGGCGGAGGCGGAGGAGGAGGAGGAGGAGGAGGAGGAGGAGGAGGAGGAGGAGGAGGCGGAGGGGAGGCGGAGGCGGAGGCGGAAGCGGAGGCGGAGGCGGAGGCGGAGGCGGAGGCGGAGGAGGAGGAGGAGGAGGAGGCGGAGGAGGAGGAGGAGGAGGAGGAGGAGGAGGAGGAGGAGGGGGGGAGGGGGAGGGGGGGAGGAGGGGGAGGAGGAGGAGGAGGAGGACAGGGCACGCCGCGCGGAAAGTTTGGGGCACAGGACGCCCCGCTGTCCGGCGTCGTGGAGCTGGCCGTGCCGCCGCAGTCGCCGAAATTGCTGGTGCTGCGGCAGCACGGCCTGCCGGACGCGGTGCTCGAAGGACCAACCATAGTTTTTCGCCGTTTGTGGCTTCGCGGGGCCCTCCACGGGCTCCAGACTTTCTCAGAGAACGGTTCAGGATCAAAAGCACGTCCTGGGGGAAGGCCCCGGGTCCAGGACCCGTTTCCATCGTAATTCGGGGCATACATGGTAGGGGGAAATGAAGGTGCACCTTTTGTCTCTGAAAGTGGCCTTTGAAGGGCCCCCTTGGCCATTCAAAGGGGCACGAAAGGTGCACTTTTCTTTCCCCCCTTCATTCATCGCCCCCCATGAAGCAACGCCCCGAGAAGGAAAGGGCAGCGATCGTTCCAGAGCGTTCCGAACGCTCCCAGGGCGGTCTGGAAGGCTGGGGGACGGCCGCGGTGCTCGACACATCGTCCAGGACCGCCGGATCTCAGAGATCCCGGATGAAGCTCAGGTGTTGTCCTTGTCCTGGTCTCGTCTCAAGCATAGACCTGCGAAGTCTTCGCGCAGGTGTCTTGGGTCGGCGCGTGTCCCCCCTGGGGCGGCGCCTTGAGCGCCGCCCCCCTTGTCAAGCAGCAGCGAGGCGTCCTGGCTTTAAGTCGGGCGTGTCCCTCTACAGGAGGAGTATACAAAATAGTCAAAACATAGTCGGGGGACGATGTTTTGAGTAATACTGGTTATGTTTGAGCATTGTTTGACTCATTGTTGCACTTCGTGTAAGCTTTGCCTGTCGAAGGACACGCCCGACCTAATCCCGGCTTGTCAGAACCTTTTGTGGTCTGTACGATTGTCTTCATAAACATTTCTGTCTGAGACTGTGTTGTTTATCACATCGGGTCTATATGCTTTTTGTTATTAGGACACTTTCCTAAGGACATGTCGTTGCAGGCCTATCGGACTAAGTCGGACCTGTTCTTCTACAGGAGGAGCATTCAGAACTAGTTCTATTAATAGTCAGGGGACGATTTTGTTTTTTTGATCGTTCTGAGGATATTCAAAACAACTTTGTTTTTCATCGCTTCGCTCATTCCGCCGGCCCATTTGCCTCGCCGGCCCAATGCGGTGCGGTTGGGCGGCTGCCATTTTTTCGGAGGCGGAGGGTGGCAGGTCAGATGCCTCACGGATGTTGGTTGGGCTCTCGTGGTTGGCTTCTCAGGGGCCTTTGGGAGGCAGTTTTGAGGCCTCTTGGGGGCCGTGTTGGGGCCTCTTGGGGCCTCTTGGGGCTTCTTGGGGTGCCTCTTGGGGGCCCCTTGTGGTCTCTTGGGGGTCTATTGGGGCCTCCTGGGGGCCTCTTGGGGCTGAAGGCTGGACGTTTCGGTTCCTGCCCCCCTTCTTGGGCCCCTCTTGGGGCCGTTTTAAGGCTCTCTTGGGCCGTCGTCGTGGGGCCCTCTTGGAGGCTTCGTGGGCCGTCTTGGGGCGGTCTTGGAAGCTTCTTGGGCCGTCTTGGTGCGCCGGTAAGCCGAAAAGGCGAGAACGCCAAAAACCGCCAGAAACTTCAGGAAAATCACTAATTTCTGCCTCTGTGGGCCCTCTTGGGAGATCCCTTGGAGGCCTCTTGGGGCGTCTTGAAGGCGCTTTGGGTTGTCTGGAGGCAATATTTGGCTTTTTGGATCGCTCTTGGACCGTCTCGGACCATGTTGAGCTCTCTTGGAGGCCATTTGAAGCGCTCATGGAGCGTTTTTGGGAGCCTGCTGGGACCTGGCAGGGACCTGGCCAGGACCTGCCTGGGACCTGCCCGGGGTCTTGCCGGGACCTTGCTGGGACTTGCGGGGATACTTTTCGTCTGGGGACCCCCATGGGCGGCCCCGCGCGCGTGAACTAGAACTACTGTTAACCAGTTACCGGAGATCTTAGCACGCCCTTGGCCAGTTGGGCCGGCGAATCTTTTGTCCCAAATCCGCCTGTAGGAGGACATGCCCGACCTAGCTATAGGAGTGCCGGGACGGTCGGTCCCTGCTCAAACCCTGGCGCGCTCCGCCCGCCAGTGTGAGGGGCCCAGCGCTGAGCCAGGAAAGCCGAGCGGATCTTCGAGAGTTTTTGCGTGGGGTTGGGGGAGGGGGAGGGCTTCTAAGAAGCACCCTGCTTCTTGGCAGGCGCGGGCCTCATCTACAGATTGAAGGCCAGCGCCTTTCAAGAAGCCGCCCCCTTCCCCGCTCCCTCCACCCCCTCGTGCGCGCCGCGAATCTGCAGCATTTTTTGTTGTTGTTTTTTTTGTTCTACCAGGCTCGGGCGACGAGAAGTGCAAACAGCTCGCATAGTAAGGATGGGCAACCTTCCCAAGGGTACCCTTGCATCGTTGCCCCTTCGATCCATCCTTGGCGACTCTCGCTGGCCAGCCTCGTTCGAGCAGCGCAGCCGTGGCCCTCCAAGGCCCTCCCATCCTTGCCACGCGTCATCAGGGGCAACTCGGGTCAGGGCTAGCTCGGGTTCGTTTTTTCGGGAATCCGAGCCCGAGTTTCCCCAGGCCCACGCTACCGCGGACAATTCGGCTGCCCAATAGGCACACGAGCCGATCCTGGCCAGGCCCGTCCTGGGCCGAGGATCGGTGTACGTGCTTCCAAGGCGATGCCAGGAGGGCGTGCACCGATCACAGGCCCAAACTCCCTTCGCATGCTGGCGGGGGTCAGCTTTTGTGGGGGTGAGGAAAGGGTAGAAAGCTCGATTCCTTGGATTCTTTTGTTCGGGGGGCCGCATTCTTCTGGAAAGCTGTGTCGTCCTTGTCCTTGCATCGGCAATTCCTCCGGGAATTCTTGGCCTGGGCCAGTTTTTTATCAGAAGGTCTGTCTTCCTGAGGTTTTCCCTTCGCTGACTGACTCTGACCCCGGAAGTCAGACCCCCATGAGAAGGCGAATGGGGAGTGGGCCTAGCCATGATCCGTGTAGTTGCATCGTACTCTTCCTTCTGTAGGTTCGGGTCGGACGAGGGGGATGCGGAAGGAGGGGGGGCACGACAGCGACATCTGCTGCATGCGCCGCCGGGCACTGGCGCCTTTGGCGCCGGGAGGTGCCGGAGAAATCAGCGAGCTGATTCGCCGGGAATCAGCCGAAAATATGGGAAGTAGGGCCCTGGAGCCCTTGAATTGGCCAGAATCAATAAACCAGGTCTGCCGTAGTTGGTGTTTTTTCGGGCGACGGCAGTTCCGGTTAGTGGAACGGGGCGGGGTGGGCATCCCCCAGTACACATCACCGAACCAGGTTTCACTAAACCCAGTTCTGCCAACGCCCGACTTTCGATTGGCCCGATGCGGCGCGCCAGCGATTGCAAGCAAGTGAGAGTGGGCAGGCTTCTCAGACGGCGTCGGGGCTTCTCTCAGGAGGGGAGAAAACACACAGACACAATTAATCGTCGATGCCCTCGAAAATATGGGAAACATGGAAGTGGGGGGGAAGACGAAAAACCTCAAAAATATAAGAAAATATAGGGAGTCCTGGGATTAGTGTGTATTTATTTGTGTGTCCCTGGGTCCCTTCATTCTCAGAGGGCCCCTGGCCTTCTGAGAGGAGCCACCTCTGCCCTCGGAGAGGGACGCCTTCTCAGAAGGTCGTACAATGGAGGCCCATGCCAAGAGACACCCTGCTCGCCTCCAGGGTGCCCTGGGTTTCTTGGGCTTCGACTGTTTTGCTATGGGAAGCGTGACGTTCCCACACCAAAAGTCAATGGACGTCCTGTGGTCTCAGGGTTGGGTTTCTTGTGGAAGATTACTTGTGGACTGGCCTCCACTGTAGGTCCTAGGCCATAGTCTCCTGAGAAGTGTCCCCCCCCTCTGCAGGTGGTTTTCGGGTCGTAACTCCGGCCTACAGCGGCCGTTCGGGACGATCCAGGCAGTCTCGGAACGCTTTCGACGAGGCGCAGTTGCTGGAGAGCGCCCCCAATTTAGAAAGCCGCCTAGAGCCGACGGAAACGGTTAAGAAACTCGAACCTCGAACATCGAACCCGAACCGTCTCCTCTCGTGGAGAAGACGGAAGGCGCATTTACCGCCAATTGCTCCCTGGACCTCTCCTGGGGCGCGTTCTGGCAAGAGTTTCGAAGAGAGTCCAGCCGTCACACCGGGGGCCCTCCAGGACGAGCAGCGGCACCGGTGCCCCAGGTCACCCGCGGGGGCGCGACGGTCATCGCGCTTCGCGCGTCGCGGCCTTGGCCAGACGGGCTGCCATTCTTCCTGGGTGGGGGGGACTGCGGGGGGGTTGCGAGGGCACGTTGGTAACAGCTCTGGAGGTAGGAAAAGGGCATGGTATAGAGGGGCGTGATGCTGATTTCATGTCAAGGGGAATCTGGCGATGTTCTTCATCGCAGATGGCATCGCCATTCCCACGATTGGCACCATACCCCTTCATGCCACACCCCTGTGACGACCTCCAAAACTCAAGAGGGAAAGAAACACACAGACACAATGAATCGTCCACTCCCAGGAAAAGATGGGAACATATGGGAAGTGGGGGCAAGACAGAAACCCAGAACATATAGCAAAAATATAGGGAATAGTTTTATTTGTGTTTATTTATTTGTGTGTCCCAGGGCCCCTTCAAAAACAGCGCGCCGCGCATCGCGCGGCGGCGACCCGCGCAGTCCGGCGACTTGTCCTTCCTCCGCTTTCATCGCCTCCCGCCTCGGCGCGCCGCCGAAGCGTCGAGGAAGAGCAAGCGGCGTAAGCGTACGTCGGGCGCGTCCCTCTACAGGAGGAATATTCCAAAATAGTTGAGCAATAGTCTGGGGACTATTGTTTAAAATCTGTTCTAATATTTCTGGAGTGTTTTTTCCTTCAAAATCCGCCTGTAGGGGGACACGCCCGACCTAAGCGTAAGCATAAACTGTCCAGGCTCCGCGCGGATTTCTCGGATCGGCGCTGGTCACCCCCCCTCCCGGCGGCGCCTCTGGCGTCGCCCCTGGCCCGCTCCGTGTTCCAGGGAGGGGCTTCCAGCGCAGTTCCAAGGAATCCGCGTGATGCTCCGACAGTTTATGCTTCTGCCGCTTCTTTTTATACTCTAGAGGGGTGCCGTTTTTTCGTCTTCTGGAGGGGGGAGGCGAGAAGGGGCGGGCCTTCTCAGAAGGCTCGGAAGGCCTCTGGCTTTCTGAGACGGGTTCGAAGCCTTCCCCGCAGACACGGCAAGCTTCTCAGAAGGCCGGAGAGCCTCTGAGAGCTCCGCCGCCTTTTGGGAAGGCCTGGTTGCTTTGGGGTCGACTCGGCTCTCCCCGGGATCGGCGCAGCCGCTGGAACGCATCCCGAGGCTGGAACAACGCTGGGGACTCCCGAAGTCGCCCGGAGACCTCAACCTCGAACCCCGAACCTCGGTGTCGCTCGGACGTGAGCATTTTTCCTCGGCGAGGACCCTCGAGGAGAACCCTGGAGCACCGGGCCAGAGAAAAACGCGGACGACACCGACAGATGCACGGGGAATGAGGACGCCCGAGCGATGGCAAGCTGGTGCTCGCCGTCTCGACAGCAGCTTCCCCCCTCCCCAGCGCGCCGCCGAGAGTTATCACCCACCAAACCAGCCCGACCCGACCCGAAGGCCTCGATCTGCCCTCCATTTGCAGTCGGCAAAAACGCACATGGCACCCCGTACCCCCCCCCCCACACACCGAAAGTCGAGGCTTGGGGCTGGGTTGGGGTGGCCTGGTAGGTCCTCCGAGAGGTGCTCAGCATGCCCGCCGCCGCCCGCGCGCGGCTGCTGGCCAAGTTCCAGTCGGCGCTCGGCGCCCTCGGCGGGCTGCGGGTGCACCAGGCCCCCGGCCCGCGCGGGCCCCGTAGGGCCGCCCGCCTCGCCGGCCGCCAGCTCCCCCGGGGCCGCCGGCCTGCTCCTGGTCGCCATGGTCTTCCACCGCCACCACACCATAAGTAGGAGGGGGAGGGGGCCCTCCTCCTCCTCCTCCTCCTCCTCCTCCTCCTCGTCCTCCTCCTCCTTCTCCTCGTCCTCCTCCTCCTCCTATTCCTCCTCGTCCTCCTCGCCCTCCTCATCATTCTCCACCTCCTCCCCCCCTCCAGCTTATGGTGGTGGTGGTGGTGGAAAACAGGCCCATCAAAGCGGGTCCTGAGGGAAACCCGTCCTCAGGTTTTCCGACCGTTTTCGGTCTTTCGCAGCCCTCCACGGGCCCTGGGGCCGTCAGAGCACGACGCAGGATGAGGAGCTCGTCCTGGGGGAAGGCCCCGGGGTCCAGGACCCGTTTCCCTCAGGACCCGCTTCCCCCATGCTAATGCTGGGTACGATCGTCGAAACGGGTACGGAAAGGATGGGTACGGTATGTTGCACCCATCAGTTGCGAAAAATAAAGAGGGGGCGGGCGCGGGTTGGGTCGCGGGTGGGTCGCGGGCTGGGTCGCGGGATGGGTCGCCAGGTGGGTCGCGGGTGGGTCGCGGGATGGGTCGCGAATGGGTCGCGGGATTGGTCGCGGGTGGATCGCGGGGGGGGGGTCGCGGGCGAGGAGGACGACAACCACAAACAACAAACAAAAATAATCCGCGCCTCGGAATTCCATTTCAGCCACCCAGGGGCAATGGATGGCCGTTCGCCCCCTTCATTCTGACGAAGACCGACAGCAGTTCCTTTTCATTTTGAGGAGGACTCGCTGTGAGTGTCGGTACGGGCGTTGACCATTTGGGACAGAAAGCCGACTGCCCGACACTGGTCGCTGACGCTTTTGAGCAACATTTGCGTTTGGGCATCGTACCCACCGTGTCCTTACCGAGATCGATCTTGGTCGTGCTTTTTCGCGATGTTGCATTTTTTCAGTAACAACAGCTCGAAGGGTCCGACCGAACAAAGACAACACGGAAGTTGTTTGCCCGGCGAAGGCCCCTGGTAACCAGGGACCTTCGCCGGGCCCCGGGGCCCCGCCCCAAAAACGGCTTGCGATAAGAAAAAGCGACCCAGGGGAAGTTGTCGGGACTTTTGGGTCGGCGCTACCCAAACACTGATTACTATTATGCGCGCCAAGCAATCGTATAGTATACGCTCCGCGGCGAGCGCTTTCTGGCCGTAACGCTCGGGAAGCGATCTACCACGAGATGGTCGTACCAGATGTTCGGGTCGGACGCACGCCTCCGAGGAGGACGCACAGTACCAGTACGTGCCGCCGCACGGGTTTGCCGCGGCGCCGGCTGCGTCTGCGTGGGTTGCGGGACGCAGGGCCTCCCGTTTGTTCTGCCGCGGTGCATGCGTCGTCGTCCACCTTGGCGCGTCGAGGACAAACGGCGCGGCGACGTGTCCTTCTGCGTCCCATGGTCGGGTTTTTTGTTGGGGGGGGGCCCGCAGGGGTGAACAACTGAGATATCGGATCATCGAGAGTAAAAGAGCCCCAACCCTAATCGCACAGCCAGGACGTGGCCTCGCTGAGGTCCCCGTCCTTGCACTAAGGAAAATCACTCTTGGCGGCTT